CTGCTATGACAAAACACATTTCAAACAGATTTAATCTGCAAATTACTGTGAACAGATGACCTTCCATATACCCCAATAAGAACATGCAGTATATTTTGGTCTCCTTCCACAGTAACCTATTCTGTTCTCTTCCAGATATTCAAGTTCATAAGCTTCAACAAGACCATGACCCAGCTGTCCTCCACATTGTCCCGCTGTGCCAAAGACATCATCGGCTTTGCTATCATGTTTTTCATCATATTCTTTGCCTATGCACAATTGGGCTACTTGATCTTTGGGTCTCAAGTTGACGAGTTTTCCACATTTCAGAACTGCATGTATGCAGCTCAAAACCTGACAATGCACACACCCTATTTACTGTAGAGCCAAGCAGTGCCACCTACACAGAATTTAAAAAGCACAGGCCCTTATTTCTTATGCTACCACAGTAATTATAGCTTTCTTCAGGCAACACGGGTGCGGCAAAATTCAGAGCCCCATAATCCCATGCACAGCTGCATCTGCTTTCTCCTACAAAGCAACCTCTGATCTTGTTGCTGCAGCATCAGGCCAAACCTGGGGTTGAATGGGATGCCTCTGGGCTCCACAGAAGGATTAACACACTAAGCAAATCAATGTTAATTCCCACTGAAGTATGATCTGAAATCCATCCTACCCCCTGCCCTCACTAAGAGCGGGAATGATAGGTGTTGGCGTGCATGCACAGACCTGCTGCCTCATTGAGGACTCCAGACACACACAGAGGGTCAGTCACCAAGTCCTAGGCCAAGGTTCATTAAACGCAATGGGCATTCATCACCAAGAACCTCCCGAGTAGTCACTACAGCAGGCAGGATCCTGGTAACTAGCTCTCCGCTGTACTGCCCCTCTTGGTTATAGATTTTATGGCAAGCACATGTATATGCTCAGGGTTAGCTAGCCGGCCTCAACACATTTTTTCAGTGTAGAATATCATTGCAGATAGGCTTCTACATGCAAAGAAAAATATATAGATCTAAGATACACTGATAAATATTTTTATGGTGGAATATTCTTGCAATACAAATCTTTACACAAAGTTGGGTCAAAAACAGGAAATTTAAGCTTACTAGGATAATACCACAACACTGCACTAAACAGTTATCTTCTCTGCACTCATGACTTATAGAAGATGTGGAACTTTTCCACATACAAAATGAGTTGTGAAGTACCTTATCAGGACTAATGTTATCGTCTGGTCTAATACCAAGTCCTTTATCTTTTCAAAGGCATGCACATTCTTTAAAGGTATGATTTACCATGGCAGTTTTATACTGGTATAATTCCACTGATTTCTGTGACTAAATACCTCTTTTATAATTAATTGAGACAGGTGCCTAGAAATAACACTTAGAAAGAAGTTTGCTTAGAAATGAGGGCTCACAGTTACCACATTTCTGTTTTTACCTCCAAGTTTTACACAGTTCCGCATTGTGCTGGGAGATTTTAACTTCGCAGTCATAGAGGAAGCCAACCGAATCCTTGGGCCCATTTACTTCATCACATTTGTGTTCTTCGTGTTCTTTGTGTTGCTGGTAAGTGGCATTGAATGATATCATGCCCTTTGTGCTCAGATGCATTTTCTTGCACACGAGGAAGTCTGGGCACACCACAGCCAGCCAAGTCACTCCGAAGGGTTGTCATGGCTGTGGCTCAGGAACCACTAGGGTCTGCACAAGCATCTTGGGGGCATGCCTCTGCTTTAGGATTACACTGGGCTCTTATTCAGGTTGTCCCCAACTCCCCTCCCAAGTACACATGTATAGCATCTCTCCCAAGTTAACCTGTGCTTTGAGCCTAAGCCAGCAGGGAGAGTAACACCCAGGTAGATTCCCCCCCACCCCATTTTATAGCAAAGCAGAGACTAAACCTCTCCACTGTCAACAGTCCACTGATGCCGTCCCACAATTCCCCTCCCTCACCATATACACAGAAGGACAGACAGGTCAAAGAAAAGAATCACTAGGCAGATCAGCTTGTGGCAGCACAAAGTACCAAGGGAGGTGTCCCCAGAAGTTCTAGTGACACATGAAGGAATGCAGCACCAGCTCTGACCCAGTACCTCATGTTAGGCTTTGCAGTGTAGATTCTTGTCTTCAGGCAAGGCTTTCCCAGGGGCCAGTTACTCAAGTTACCTGCATGCAGGTGTACTTTGGCAAGCCAACCACTCTCCATCAACAACCCAACACAATAGTGAAGGCATAGAGAGACCAAGAAGGCCCAATTGAGGGTGTCCCACTTCCAGCGTTGTCTCCTTTGTTACCTTGCTGCACCTTGGGTTTAGCATGTGATTCACACCAGCATGAAAAAGTCAGCAGAATCTGGCCCAGCAAGGAAGGGAAGGGGTCTCAGCACGCAGATGGGCATAACTGCTACCTCTAAGCGTCCTAAAATTAAGCAGCTACATTTGAGGGTGGCTTCAGTGCCCAGCCCTGCCATGCTGAGGAGAGAAACAACTGTGAGCAAGTCAGGAAGGAGAGAAGAGACCTGGAGGAGGAGGAAGAGAGTGAGGGTGCATTCTTTGTTTTCCCTCTGTTCCCTTATGAAGAGCCTAGAGAGACTCTCAAGGTGTTTTAACAGGCTGGTTTGACCTGTATACAGGGGCAGCTCCAGAGTTTTTACTTCCCCACCCACTCTGATTGTATTTGAAACCCGTGACTGGGGATCATTAAACACTGCCCATTTCAGATTTCCTAAACTGTCTGAGTTAGAAGCAAGCACCCGGGGCACTGTGTGACCACTGGCAGGCCTCACCTGCTAGGGTTAATACCTCCGGGGGAGGCTTCAGGTGTGCCACAGGGCAGAAAGCACCTTCTACCAACACTGCAGGCAGGAAATAAGCAGTGTCCATCTTCCCCAGAACTTCCTCCCCCAGGCCCCAAAGCAAACAACTTCAGATTTTCTTAAAGCTAGGAAGCAGTTAGGCATGGGCTTTAGTCAGCACAGCTCTTCTGTCCTCTATTAAAAGCCAGCTTAAGTCACTTACCAAATTGATTCCACCCAGGGTCTGAACAAGGCCTCAATTTTCACTAGTTAGTTAAAAGCATCCAGTCCTATCTTTCTTATATCCATGATCAGAGCCATTGTAACCAGAGCAGTTTCACGCATGTGGAAGAGCTTTATGCTCATAGGATTTTTGCAGTACACACCCAGCTGTCTCCTGGAGAAAGGGGGCTCCAAACAGAGTTTGTAGATCTGACCCATCTACTTGCATCAAGTGTTAGAGGTGCTGCTTAAAGCAAAGGTTTGCTCCCCTCCCCTTCCCCCACAAATTGATATTTTTCTGCCACACCCATGCATAGAATCAAACAGGCCCCGAGTAATAGAAATGGCATTTCCATCGAGAAATTCTCCGTGTGCTTCTTCCCTCTACAGAACATGTTTCTGGCTATTATTAATGACACCTACACCGAAGTGAAGGCCGACTTCTCAGTGATACCGAGTCAAGAATTTGATGTCAGCGACCTCATTAGGCAGGCAAGTGCATGCCTCAAGGACACTAGAGTTTTAATGATCACACTCAAAATGAATATTCCCTGGTCCCACTGAAATGCTTGCTCCAAAAGTCACAATTTCAGAATAATTTGCATTAGTTTCTGTATTTTTAGCCAACGTGACAGATGCTTTCCTCCTTATGTACACTTAATCACTGCCAAAGGGACTATGAGAACATTAGTATTAGCCTAGGAAAGCCACCCTCTCTAGGAAATCTCTTGTTATAGTTCTTCAGCATTTGGGTGGTGGATACAAGGCATACCGCAGCAGTTCCCCATCTTGGGGTCACAACCCCAGGTGGCAAAGATAAAAGATGGGGTTGCACACTCCTGGGGAGGGAGGCATGGGGGGCCCATGCCCCTCAGATTTGTGCACAAGGCAGAGGCAGATGCGGGCTGCCCATTGCAGGCTTAGGGCTCCCCACCTTGCTGCCCTTCCCCCGGGACCTCCGTGGCACAGCAGGGTGGGGAGGCTCAGAGCCCCACACTGACTGCACTGCCATGACAAGGTGATCCCTGCCGCTGCTGCCAGGTGGGCAGGGGGTGCCTTGCCATAGCAGTGTGGCTCCTGGCAGCAGCACAGAGCCTCCCCTTCCTCCCAGACTGGCTTCTGCCTGCTGGGCTGCAGGGGCCCTGGGGGTAGGGCAGCATGGCAGGGAGCCCTGAGCCCACAGCAGGCAACCTGCATCCTCCACCCTCCATGTGGGCTCTGTCCTAGACATGCTGCCCACAACGGAAGAGGGTGGAAATGAGAGGGGGAGCTGGGCTCCAGACTCAGCTCTGGCTGCAGCAGCCCCCACCTCCCATGTGCAGCAGCCAGGGCTTGGCCACTCGTGGGAGGACAGGTGACCATGGTCTTCCAGCCCTGGAAGCTGTCGTCTCCCCGCCCTCCTCCAGTGGAGCTGGGGGGGGGGCAGGGGCCCGTAGGTCACAAGTGAAGGGCACCAGCAGGGCTGGTAGAGTGAGGGGCACCTGGGGGGTGGGGCAGAGCTGCAGATTGGGAGTGACAGGCTATGCTGAGGAAATGGGGTTGTGCTGAAGGAAAAAAAAAAAAAGTTTGGGAAGCACTTGCTTAGAGAATATTCCACCCCCTCCCCTCCCCAGCCATTTGAGGGGAGATTGGCAAAGGCAAAAATGCATTGGTACCTTTTTGCTTTGTGACATGTCAAGTCAGTAGCTGTATGGCCTCTTCTTACTGCCTAATCTCATAAATTCAGGTCTTTGCCTATAAATGTCTTATCTATACCCTCAAGTGCTATTGTTTCAACTCTGTTAATGAAGTTAAAACATGGTACAGTCCCCTAGCAGGGACACAGTTCTGGGGTACAATCGTGCCTTCTAGAGGAATAGGCTATTCCTCTAGAAGGAGAATATGTGGTGACACTTTGGCACTGGTTTAACTGCATTCACGTGAGTTGTACCAGCATAAGTCTCTAGGTTAGGTAGGAAGAGAGAAAACCTACACATAACAAACAAAACACCTCTACCCAGCATAACTACACTTGCTTTTAATTGTAGTTTAGACTATAAGAGGAGTTGAAGGATCCACTGCTGAGACCAAGGGAAGTCAGGAACAGGACACAGCTACTCTCAATATTGCCTTCAGCCAAAAGAATCAGAGTCTATTGTGACGATTGAGAATTTAGGGAAGATTAAGATGTTGTTAAGATCCTAATTCTGCTGGAATCTGTAGGCATGGCTCTCTTAGTTGTATTTGCTGGAGACTTCTCTACGCACACTATGGTCTACTAATAGATATCACATCTACTCAAAGAACTTTTCTTGCCTCTGTCCTGAGACCAACACGGCTACAACCAAAAACCCAGCAAGCCAAATACAGCATTCTTGGAAAGCTGTCAGATTTCCTTTGGGTGTTTTGTTTTGAGCCACTAGTTTAAGACAAGAACTGATCCTAGAAGGGACTTAATTCTCAGTTTTGGTGGGCCTTGGCCATAAAGTACATAACACCTTCATTTTAGATTTGGCTGTTCACATCCCAGCACCTTTTGCATTAGCGTTGCGTAGGCATCTAGCTTGCTGATTAGGAGTTGTCTACAGACTAAAACGAAACCAGCAAAAGAAACAGAGGCCTAATTGATTCAGCTCACGTGGCATCTGAGAGAATCCCACAAGGCATTCGCGTTTAAAATAGTAAGTTCTCCGAGCTGAGTGAAGGGAACTGGGAATTCATTTCCGTGAACACCCGCGGGATTTATTTCTAAATCACCTGCGCAGCCTACTGACATGTCCCTTACAGTCGAGCATTTCAAGGTCTTCATGCCATTGCTTGTGTGAAAGCATCTGTGCAAATGTGATTAGATATTTAACTCCTTTCCCTTGGTGCATTTTGATTTATGAGTGTATGTGCCCATGTTCAGAGCTGCAATAAGGCCCTGGTCAAACTGAAGCTGAAGTCAGAGATGGACGATCTGTATGAAGGAGGTGGAGGTTTAAAGAGCACAAAAAGGTAGGAACCGAGCTGCGGCCTTTTTCCCTTCTCTCCCTTAGCTTGCAGTAATAATTTTAAGCCATTTGTCTAGTTTTCGAACACTGCCCAAGATGCAGAGAAGGGCTTTGGTTTGGAAGACTGATTAAACATTAGATCAGTGGTTTTCAACCTGTGGTCCATGGACTGTGTCTAAGGGGTCCACTAAAGATAACTATGATCAATCAGAAGTACGTGAATACCCACACGTATAAATTAAAAGGGGTCCGGACCTCCATTCAAATTTTTTTAGGGGCCCACAAGTGAGAAGAAAAAAAAAAAAAAAAAAAGGTTAAAAAACCACTACATTAGAACTCATAAATTAATTGAGATTAAAAAAAAAATACTGGAGTAAATACGATAACTTCCATTTAAGAATTATGGATCTAGAAAGTTCTTATATACTTTGGATGCCCAAGTTCAAAACAGCAGTCTTCCTAGGCCATGTTGGTACAGGGAAGACTCATGAAATTCCTTCAGGGTTTCTTACCCATTGTTCCTGTGTGAAGGTCAGACCCTTCAGTCCAGATTAGCGGGGCTGCCTTGCCAGGCCATCAGTGCTAGTTAGAGTTGTTTCTCTACAGAGTCCCAAAGACCTATTCTCATGGGATTCTTGCCTTCCTTTATTTTTCATGAATGATAACAGGATCCATTCTTCTGTCTCCAAGATACCCGATAGTCCTAGGCCTTCCAGAAGAAGCAGTATGGAAGAAAAGGTAGTCTTTGTTCTCTTTTGCCCCTTACCTGGTTACAGGCCAACACAAGGCTGCACAGACCACTGGGTGATAGTTTCATATTTGGTAGGGTCGGAAGGGACCTAAGCAGGTCATCAAGTCCAACCCCCTACCATGGGCAGGAAAGAATGCTGGGGTCAAATGACCCCGGCTAGGTGATTGTCTGGCCGCCTTTTGAAGATCCCCAGGGTGGGGGCGAGCACCACTTCCCTTGGAAGTTGGTTCCAGCTCCTAGCCACCCTGACTGTGAAATAGTGCCTCCTGATATCTAGCCTGAACCTACTCTCAGTCAGCTTATGGCAGTTATTCCTTGTAACTCTCAGTAGTGCTTGGGGGAACAGGGACTCTCCTATTGCCTGCTGGTCCCCCTTGGCCAGTTCATAGGTGG